ATTTGACAAAGGGGGCAGAAGCATAAAATGGAGCAATAATAGCCTCTTCAACAAATGGTGCTGGGAGAGCTGGACGGCTACATGCAAAAAAATTGAAATTGGATCATCAGCTGACACCATACACAAAAATAAACTCAAGATGGATAAAAGACTTTTTCCAAGGAGGAGATACAGAGGGCCCGGAGACATTTGAAAGGATGCTCAGCATCACTAGCCATCAGAGAAATGCAGATCAAAACCACAATGAGGTACCACTAGTACACTGCTGGTAGGAATGCAGACTGGTGCAGCCATTGTGGAAAGCAGTGTGGAATTTCCTCAAAAAGCTGAAAATGGAACTGCCTTTTGATCCAATGATTCCCCTGCTGGGACTATACCCTAAGAATCCCAAAACGCCAATTCAAAAGAACCTATGCACCCCAATGTTCATAGCAGCACCATTTACAATAGCCAAGTGTTGGAAGCAACCTAAATGCCCATCTGTAGATGATTGGATCAAAAAACTATGGTGCATTTACACAATGGAATACTACGCAGCAGAAAGAAAAAAAGAACTACTAAACTTCGCGACAGCATGGATGGAACTCGAGAGCACTATGCTAAGTGAAATAAGCCAGGGGGTGAAAGACAAATACCATATGCTCTCACCTATGAGTGGAACCTAACCAACAATGCAAAGATGCAAGGAAAATAAGACCAGCAACACTGAAAGGAAAAGAAACAATAGAGGCAAGGGGGAAGGGGGGGCGGGGGGGAAAGGAAGGGAAGGGGAAAGTCAAGGAACATAGAGCAAGGACTCATGGACAAAACCAAAGAGGAAGAGTCGAGGGAGGGAGGGAGCAAGGGAAAGTGGTGGGGGGTAGGCAGACACAAATGTATTTGAAAAAATAAATAAAAAATAATAATAAAATAATATTAAAAAAAAAAAGAAAAGGAAAACAATCCCATTTACAATTGCCCCAAAAAGAATAAAATGCCGAGGAATAAATTTAACCAAGAGGTAAAAGGCCTGTACAATGAAAATTATAAAACATTGATAAAAGAAATTAAAGAAAATACAAATAAATGGAAAAATATTTCATGCTCATGGACTGGAAGAATATTGTTAAGGTGCCCATACTACCCAAAGCCATCTATAGGTTTAATGCAATCTCTGTCAAAATCCCAATGGCATTTTCACAGAAATACCATAAATAATCCTAAAATTTGTATGAAACCTCAAAAGACCCTGAATAGCCACAACAACCCTGAGAAAAAAAAGAACAAAGCTAGAGGCATCACACCTTCTGACTTTAAACTATATTACAAAAGCTATAATAATAAAAACAGAATGGTATTGGCATAAAAACAGAGACAAAAGACTCCCATGATAGCTACCTTTTCTATAGCACCTATAATCATTAAACATGTATTTTACTTATTCATGGCCTCATATCATTAAAATGGAAGTACCAAATGGGTAAAGATTTTTGTCTTGTTTTGTTTGTTGTTATCTCCAAATATCAAAGAATACCTGGCTCATAGTGAAGAATGAAACTGATATTTAATTTTATGAGGCACTGTCCAACAAACTTAAGTGTTATCTTTCTTTCTTTAGCTCATTCAAAATGTGCAGGTAAAACCTATTAGCTACATCCATGTTAAATTTCTTTTCAACATAAAAAATGCTAAATAAACTGACCTTAACAAAAGTTTTTAAAAAATAAAATAGCCTCAGAAGATAACTCAGTTGGTTGGAGCACCATCCCAAAACACCAAGGTTGAGGGTTCCATCCCCAGTCAAGGCACATACAAGAAGCAACCAATGAATGCATAAATAGGTGGAACAAATGTGTTTCTGTCTCTGTCTTTCTGTCTTTCTCTCCCCTCTCCACTTCTTCTCCCTGAGATCAATTTAAAAAAAAAAGAAGAATAAACATATTTGAAATTGCCTCCATCCAACTTAACCTCTCTAATCATTTCTAATCTATTTTTAATCTTGTTATCTTAAGAACCCTCTTCAAAGGCAGAGATTCCCAACAAGCGTATATTTGATGGGAAAGTCAAAGTGACACAATATATACCAAACTCATATTGGACCTATTATTGATTCTATGTGCCACCCTAGCTGTATTTTGGTTTCTTTGGAAGCACCTCAATAAGGCAAATACAAGTTAGAAAGCATCCTTAATCTTGATACCAATCTACCCAAACCCCAGAATTAAAACAGTAATGAGAAACCCAAGGCAGAGATGGTAAGGAAGAAAAGGCATGCCTATCCCAGATCACTGGGACCTGAAGAAAATAAACTTAGTACTGCCCACTCTAACCTTTTGAGCTTTAATCACTAACCCGCAACACATGTGTACATATGTAATTATTACTGACCACTATGACTTTCCTTGTTAGTCAGGCACACTTCATTTTACTACTGCATTTCACTTTATTGTGCTTACAGATGTTGCTCTTTTTTTTTGTTTGTTTTGTTTTGTTTTACAAATTGAAGGTAAGACCCTTTGGCCTTATGGCAATATCCAGTGGTCTAGAACCGAACCCACAATATTGTCAAGGTATGACTGTATATTATTTTTAAAATAAACATTAAGTCTTGGTCTACTTTTAAATGAAAAGTCAATGGCAGACATTATAGCCCCTGCAATGTTTTGACCAGGTCCCTCTTAATTCACATTTTTTATTATTAAGTTGCTAATACTGTTAGTGAGAATACACAAGAGCATTTAAGCAATCAAATTTAAATATTGCAGGAACACTAACTTCTGATATTACCAAGAACTATAACAAAGTAGGAAAGCAGTTTATGGCTGAAGGGTCACGATTTTACTTGCAGATTTAACCTATAAAATGATAACATGGCATATCCATTGTTTATACATCAGGTACAAAGACATAACTTGTACAAAACAGCACTGCTGAATCATGCTGTGCAGGAGATGCATTAACTTAACAGTGAAAAAAAAAATGATGTTCAGTCACAGATGATCTGTCCTCACATGATGGAAATACTTAGGATGGGAAATCTCTTGATCACATTTCTCTGGTTGTTTAGGGGAAGCAGTGACCAATCTTTCTTTCAATAGTGTGAAAAGAATACCAAATTATAGATACATACTTTTTGGTCTTTTTCTAGTGAAAGTTCTACTATGACGTTTTTGGGGTGGTCTGAGAATTCATTAATGTGGCAAGAAGAGAATAAGATCCAAAGACACATAACAAAACCCAATGACTTATAACTATCATTATGCTTTTTTACTGAAAACCAGCAACAAGTTCACCTTTGACATTGCTTTTAAGTCCTATGGAGATACAAAACTAAGATATCTGAGGTCAAATGTTGGAATAGGCTAGGGAAACAGGAGATACTAGTATACCTGCAATTCCTTTCAAGCATCTGAATTTCTGTAGAATGTAATCACCACCATTTTCTTTGCACAACTTCAATTCCTCACTTTCAATGGGTAGGTATTTTATGTAAATTTTTAGACTAAGGGAGAATTTAAGAGAAAAGATACATAATTTCTATATGAAATAGTGAGTAATAAGACTACATTAAGTAAGAGTAGAGGGCTACCGAGTCCAAGAACATTGATTTAGTTCACATACCTATTAATTTAATCAGTACCACCCTAACAGATTCTCCCCCTTCTCCCAGCCCATGCATTCTACCTCAAAACTACACTATCGGTCATATGTGGTTATGAAAATGATTAAAATTAAGAAGCACACTGTAATTTAATAACCTTCAAATATCTCCTCCAACACAAAACTGTCATTGCAGAGGCGGTGTTTCAAAAGAAAAGACTCATCACGATTTCCTGACTTCTTAATTTAGCTTGGTTGTTCCCAATGCACATATTCTCTTTGCATCCTTACTGATAATGTAAAGGAATTAATACTTTGCATAGCGCACTGTTCTGCTTTTATCCACAGTATATGTCCATTATTTCACTTTCATTCTCACCAACCTATCAGAGCAAAAATACCCCTCTCTCCATGGCATGCCACTTTAATCCTAGTAACTCAAAAAAGGGAAGCTGATCATATAGTTTTGTAAGTTTCACTGGGAGCTAAGTAGAAGTGTGCAAAGAATACATAAAGTTAACAGAATGCCTCAAACAACGCCATCACCAGTCCAAGCAAACAGACAAAACGACTCGCCCTGCAGGCACCCAATACACTATGGCCCTACTTTCAGGTAACACTCCTCTAACGAACACAAAGTCAATTATCAGGACAAAAGCTCCGGCTGGAACAGTCTACCTAACCCAAGGAAAGAACCACTTACATCACACATCTCATCGTAGATACTGAACTGAGAAGATCACCACCAGAGTAAAAGCTCTACCGATTCTCCAACGCAAAACAATCCAAGCACTTTAATCCCGCCAGTGGCGACCTGCAAACTACGTGTAAATCTACACTACATCCAGGCACGATGATTTGCAGCTTATTCAGTAGCCAGCGCCACAGGACCAAGTCCCCGTGAAAACAAGCCCCACACCTCTCAGAAAATCTCAGTATGAAAAAAAAAAAATCATCACCGACAGGCCTTGTAAATCCAACAATATCCTGACCTCCTCCTAAACAGCGAAGATCACGGACACTCCTAAACCAACGTAAAAAGGCTCCCTGATCATCCAACATCCTTCTCTCCTCCACAAGCTCCTATGTACGGCCGGAGGTCACCACGGGCTGGGGTAAGCTCCCAGCCATAGGCTGGGCCACGACTGTTAACTTCCCAGAGCTCACCACCAAGGAGGACTGGGAAACATCTGTATTCAGTCCCACATCTGGAACCCCAGCCTGGAGACAGTATCAGGCGCTCTGCCACCTAATCCCCAAGCACAGCGAAGAGCCCGGCACCGGAACGGCGGCGGGACAGGACGGCCCCGCCCACGGGGTTAGTACCAAGCTTCTCCCCTCAGCTGAGTCGCACGCGATCGCTTGCCGCTCGCCGCACCGGGGAGGGCGCCGGCGCCCCCTGCCAGGCGGGCAAAGGATACAGTCCCGGGTCCAGAACGCCGCGGCGCCGGGGCGGGAGGGGCCCGCCACGTCCGCCATCTTGAAACAACCGCCACTCGGGACGCTGTGTCGGGGCTGTCCCACCCCGGACTCCAAGCCCCGTCCCCATTGGCCACTCGGCGCAGAGGCCCGCCTCCGCCTGCGAGGCCCGCCCCGGTGGGGCGGGAGGGTCAGTCCGGAGGCGTTGCTTTGTCCCGGAGGTTGGGGCCGAGGCCGCGGGAACGAGCTCACTGCCCAATTACTGCCGAACCAGCCCGGGTCCCTCATCGCGTCCTTGCCTCGGTCTCAGGCGCTGAGCACTACAACTCCCGGCATGCCGTGAACTTGATGGCCGAGGCTCGGGGGCGGTGTCCAGTGCTGCGGCCCTCCCAGCTCTCCCGTCGCGTCCTCTCCGCAGCCCTGGCAGCGCGCGGAGCTGGGACGCGAGCCATGGAGGAGTCACCGCCCCCTCCTCTGAGCTCCAGCAAGCCGCACCTGGAGAAGCTGACCCTGGGAATCACGCGCATCCTAGGTGAGTGGAAAGTCGGGGACAACTGCAGGTCGAGGCGGCGTGCACTAGAAGCAGAGTGGCATTGCGACGGTGGACCTTGTATGCCAGTGGGCATCGCTGCTGCGGCTTCCGTTGTTCAGGAAGAAAGGGGGAGCTTTGCTGAGAGTGTTGGGACTCAGAGCTGGGAAGCCCGAAGGTTCTCCGCACCGGAGGTCCCACGGCAGGCCCCATTAAGAGTGGGCAAAAACGTACAAAGGACAGACAGCAGGCACATGACAGTTGGGAATTTGGGTCTCCCGAGATGCATTATTGGCCAAGGGCTTTTTAAGTCTTTCCTTTGGTGACGGAAAGAGCTGGAAGAAGGCTGCAGCCAATCTCCCTGGGCAACAACGCCCACGCACCTTCGTCTTACAGTCCAAAGGAGTTTATTCTTGCACTACTGAATGGGTATTTTCCCTGTATCGTACCTTTACTTAGCACCCACTGCTATGTTAGATTCTGGAACTGCAAAGATGGCGGGGGGGGGGCGGGGGGCGGAAATTAACACGTGAAAAAATTTTAAAAAACTAGGTCACCAGAAGTGAAAGAGGAGGTGAGCAATCTATTGTTGTTCTGAAGCAGCAGACAGGAGGTGGTGATTGACCTAATCTGGGGAAGAATATATTCCACCCATGACCCTAGATTTTGAAAGACAAGAGTTAACCAGATAACCAGGGATAAAGGCAGACTAAGCCGGCTGAATAGCATGTTTGGATGCCCTACCATCACATTTATAATAAAATCCAAATACTGTACCATGACTTAGTCCCTTATGACCTGCCCTTATTTGTCTATTTGACCATATTTTCATTGTGCTTTTGCCACAGTCGTGTCCTTGTTGTACCATAAACATTAAGCTTTGCAATTTGCTAGACCCTTCACTGAAATTACTTTCCTCTAAATCTGTCTCCCTCATTTCATTCATCCCTCTGATTAAATATCACCACCTCAGAGAAACTTTCCCCAATTATATATAACATAACTTCTTTATCACTCTTAGCCTACATTTTTCTTTTATCCTTTGGCTTTATCACTACTTAAAATTACGCATTTATTTGGTTTCATTTTAAATTTGTCTCTCTTTTCTGTAATAGAAGTTCATGAGGATAGGAACTTTGTCTTGTCCTCCCCTATATTTCCCAGTGCCTAAATCAGTAAATGAGACATGAAACACTATAATGTGGTTGGGAGAAGTGATAAATTTTAGAAGTGAAGTTATAGAGTGGGACAAGGAGAGATCTAATGAAGACCTATCCTGTCCCTTAATACTTACCAAACTTTTGCTCTGTTACTTCTTATGCTCCTGGGTTTAGTCAGGTAGGCCTTGCTATTTTACAGGCTTAGTTCATTATTCTCTTTATAAATCTAGGAATTTTTCCATAAATAAGCTGTTTTCTTCTGATTAATGTTTAAACTATTCAAGTCAAGCCAACTAAGTTTCCTGTAAACTGTCAGTTCGGTTTTAAAATCCGAATAATTAAGTGACTGTAAAAATTTAAATTCCATTTATACTTTTAATATATTTTATTATGCATTTCAGATGTTTGGCGAACTGGTAACACTTCAAGGCAAAACCTACCTAAGGAATTAAACAACTCTGGTAATTAAACATATAGTGAATCTAGTCTCCCATTAAATATTCTCTTTATAAAATAACACCTCATAATTTCAAGTTAATAATCACAGGTTTAAATTCAATTATAATTTTATTTTTTTACATTTGTATTTTGTTTTGAAAGGATAATATGTTAAGAGGGTTTTTTAAAACCATGTAGCTGAGGTCAGTGGTTAGGTATGTGGTAAGCAAACTCCCAAAGTCTCCTTCCTAAAAGATGAAATAACTTCACAACTGCAACATTTCTGTCCAAAACCAAACATTTAAAAATCCTCAACACAATACTATGAAACCAAATTCACCAACATTAAAAAGATTACCAAGTGTGATTTATGATTTAACCCAGGGATTTGCAGTTTGTTGAACACATGAAAATCAATTAATGTAATGCACCTTTTTAATAGAATGAAGGACAAAAACCACATAATCATGTCAATCATTGTAGAGAAAGCACTTGACAAAATCCAACACTGTTTCAGGATTAAAAATAAAAAAACCCAACAAACTAGAAATAGGATATAGAATAGAAATCAAATTTCCTCAACCTGATAATGGGCATCTATGAAAAACCCACAACTAATACCATACTTAAATGGTGAAAACTTGGATGCTTTCCCATTAAGGTCAAGAAGAAGACAGATGTTTTCAGGATTCCCAAGACCATACCAGGTTTGATGGTTTACTAGGAGGATTACAGGACTTAGCAGATAGTCATGCTGAGATTTATTATAGCAAATGCAAAGGGAAAAGTACATGTAGGGAAAGCAGGTACAAGTTTTCAAGTGTCCTCTCAGTAGAATCATATGGGAGACAATTTTTCTAGCAATGTGACAACATGCCCACATTGTCTACTAGGGCAGCTCACCTGCACTTAGGAGTCCAGACCATTTATTGTAAATCAGTCATGTAGACACCTTCTACTTAGTATGTACCAAATTCCAGACTCCCACAAAGAGAGCAGGTGTTCAGCATAAATGATATTGTTTGCACTAACATTTAGGCCATTCTTATGAGGAAATGGAGGGAACCCTCCCGAAATCCAATTCCCAGATGCCAGCCGAGGACCAACCTTGCAAGCAGGGGTTTCTAAAGATTATAACATGAGGCCTGCCATCTTTACTTGCTTCTTTACAATGAGAATTCCCCTCTTACCTCTTCTATTCAACATTGTATTGGACAGTCTAGTCGGGGCAATTAACCCAGAAAATAAAGGCATACAAATTAGAAAGAATGAAGTAAACTATCACTATTTGCAGATGATATAATCTTGTGTATTTAAAAAGATCCTAGGAAATCCATAAAAACAGAAAAACCCTACACATTAAGTGTAAATTTGTCTGGCTCTGTGGCTACAATTTAAGTCCCATAAATGTGCACTGTCTCTCATCTGTGCACACTCACCTGTCTATTATAGCAATATGTGAGATCAGGCTAGTTGCAATTCTACAGACACTGTTTTTCCTCTTTCAGAATCATCCCCAGGTGTCACAGAGGTGACCATCATAGAAAAGCCACCTGCTGAACGTCATATGATTTCTTCATGGGAACAAGTAAGAGTTGCTCTGTTCAGTTTTCACCTTCCAACAAAGAGAGGTCAATTTAAATGCCCCTGAGAAGGAAAGATTAGGGAAGGAAACCTATTCTTATCTCAGTCCACAGCTGCCTTCAAGGTAGAATTCATCCCTCTCTCTGTTCCTGTTAGGACACTTAACACTCGCCCATTCTGTGCCATTTCCCGAGCATGGATCACCTGTGGGCCTATTGTGTGGGGGCAGTGGAACATTCAACATTGTTTACAACATAACTAAAAATCAAGCAAGGAAAGGAAAAATTGCATGTTAATGAGCATGTCGGGCAGAGAATTACGAACCAGATTAATAACTAGTGTTTCCCAACCCTTCTCTGAACTTTCATTCATTTTTTCAACACAAGTTTTAAACTTTTTAAGTGGGCCAGGCATTGCCCTTGGTGTTGAGTTCTGGGGAATCAGTGATAATCAGAAAAGGACATGGTTTTTTACCTCTTTATATTATTGTCCCCAGTCAGGGTGTCCAACCTGCAGCTCACGGACTGCATGCAGCCCCGGATGGTTATGAGTGCAGCCCAGCACAAAATTGTAAAGTTACTTAAAATATTATGAGATTTGTTTGTGATTACATGTTGCAATGTATTTAATGTGTGGCCCAAGACAACTTTTCTTCCAGCGTGGCGCATAGATGCCAAAAGGTTGGGCACCCCTGACAGACAGAGTGTAAATCATTGCAAGTGTGCTTACCAAGCAGACTGAGTACCTTGAGAGAGAGGTGAAGGGAGCATTTTCAGGGGGCTTAACTTAGTCCAGAGGGCGAGAAAAGTGTTCCTCGAAGGAGTTAAATGATGAGAAGTTGTGAACCAGGCAGATGAGATCTGGAAGGAGGGGCTCTCAAACTGTGTGAAGGCTTTGAGTGGGAAGGGTCACATTTTCCAAGAGCATAAAGAAGGTCCATGTGGCTGCAGCACAGGAGAGCAAGGGAAAGAGGTTGACAAGGACCCAGGCATGTAAAACTTTTACATGATCAGGAGTTTGCTCTTTATCTTGGGCATAAAGAGGAACTACTGAAATGTTTTATATGGGGAACTGGGAAGTCAATTTCTGCTTTGGAAAAATCATTGTGGCTAAGTAGCAGCAATTGGATTTGACTAAGGAGGTGGAAATCACCCACATATATGAGTGCCTGCTAACACATACCACGTAAGTTATTTCATTTAATCCTCACAATAACCCTGCAAGGTAGGTGTTGATATTTCCGTGTTGTAGGTGAAAAAACAGGCTCAGAGAGGTTAAGGAGTTTGACCTGGGCTACGTAGCTGCCAAGCGGGAGAGCTTGCATTTGACCTCTCTCTGCTGCCCGTCTCTTCTGCTCGGCCAGGCTGCACCATTACCAGTGGACAGCACTGTGGCAGTCTTGTCCTCAGCAGCCATGCAGGTGATGGGGAGGTGGGTTTACTGTACATGTGCATGTTCGGTCCTTGCAAGCAGGGCTCACCCTCCCTGGGCTTGAGCCAGCAGCAGCCTCTCTGGCATCTCAGTAGCTGGTAGTTGACGTTTCTCTGCAGGACCTCAGCTCAGTCGCTCCCCAGCTTTGCTCATGGGCTTACTCAGCCCCCACACCCATTCCGACTCACAGTCCGTAATAGAAAAGAGAATTCAACAGATAGAACAGTATCTATCTGCTGAGCTCTTACTGGCTGGTCAGTCGGCCTGCTCTTTGTGAAGCTGTGGCTATGGCAGCTTGGCCTCAATGCCATGGTTTATGACATTCCTCCTGACCCTCAGCCCTTTAGAGAAACTGTCTTGGGCCTTCTGTGTGCTAAAGAGGAGACTCCTGGCTTGGAAAGTCAGGTTCACAGACCTGGGCGGGAGGATGAGAGGACAGGAATGCCTTGTCTGGGGAGGAACACTTTTAAGGCTATATCATTATTATGACACTTATGTATTGAAGTACTTTCTGGGGCATATTTCTTCCTGTGTCTTATACCAGATACTCCCCAGGATGCTCCGAGATGACTTTACCCATCTGTTCCAATATTTCTTATTGTCCTGTAGTTTATTCATTTGGAGCATGCCTTCCATGGCTGCTTTTCAGGGCTAGAGTCTGTATCTCATCTCATTGGGACCTAATCTGCCTCCTGGACAAAGCAACTTTATTGGGACTGACGTTTAGCTTAAACTGACATTTAAGAGAATATAGTTCTTGAGTTGGATAAGTAGCCATTGGAGCTATGAAAGAATTAAAGGGTAAGCATGAGAGAAAAAGATTTTTAACTTACTGAGATAGCCTATGAACATTTTCTTCAGACATACTCAGTTGGGGGGAATTTCTGTGAAAGCACCTAGACTAATGAGATACATTGATTTGGAGTTTTCCATCACGTCTTTTACTTGAGATATCTCAGACCTAAATACAGTAAAATATGCCATATTAAAGTATGGATAGTATTAGACTCAGTAACATAAAAATTGACTTGAGCAGTTGGTGTGTTGGAGCTTTTTGAAGGCCTGTGGGGTGCTTCAAAGCTAATGTGTACATGCAGATGATCGTAGAAGGAGTTTGGGATGTGTACTTTTAAGGCTCAGTTTTTATTTAACACACTTTTTTTCTGGTTGTGCCAAACAAAGCATGGTCACCATAGACAATATGGAAACTACAAAAAGGGATTAAAGAAATGAAAAGTCCCCTAGGACTTTGCCACTTAGAGAGAACCAGTGTCAGTATAACTTAGTTGTGGCTAGAGAATGGGCGATGGGTAGTGGTCCAGGGTCACCCTAAGAGCCCGTGAATGGGAAGTGATCCATAGGCCCCTTGAACTGCGTGTCAAATTTATGAAGTATATACATTTTTCTATAGAAAGATGTTTTCAGATTTGGAAAGGGGTTCATAACCCCCAAAGGCTGAACAGCAGGTTTTTGTATAATTTTTTTCATTTAAAACAGATATGATACAGATGTGCTGTTTGAGTACCTGCTTTTCTCACTTAAGCAATGGAGGGCATAAGTTTTGAGCTGGTCTGAAATACTCCCGCTCCTCTTCCTCACCAAAGGGTTATGGAGGAGCACATTTCCACAGGAAAAAGCATGGCAGGGCTCTCCTCTAGTTCCTCCTCTGGAAAGTGTCTATACCAGAGGAGCAGAGGGGTCCCAAGGGGCTGGTAAGTTCCACTTCTCTAGGGGACTGACCCAGCGCACAGCCACCGTGCGGTACAACTGCTGTCCACAGCTGCATAAATACAGCCAAGTAACACCGGCCCCTCAGGAAGAGGTCCGCAGCCTCTGCTCCTCCCCTTTTTGCAAGTGCAGCCCCCGGCACTCCCACGGAGGTCGGCGGTCATGGGGGCACCGAGGGGAGGAAGCCAGAGTGGCAGTCTCTGCCTGCTCCTGCCCCTTGGCTAAATAGTGTAACTTACCTGGGTCTCATGGTCGCATCTGTAAAACAAGAGGTCTGAAATCAGTTTTAGTGAAGGACTTGTCCAGTTCTAATATTTTATGATTCTTTGGTGCAAAGGCAGGAAGAAAAGGTTGAAACTAAAACCTAAATGACCATATACCTGCTGCAGTCTCCTAAGGTTAGAGGAAAAAGTGAAAAAAACTCTCTCTTTTAATGTATTTTACCCTTCTTTGTTCTTTAAAAAGCCGTTTCAGTCTGCATGGTTTTGTGCAGTTGTAATTCATGTTCACTGTGCCTGCTACTTGCCTTTTGTAATGATGGTAGTTAGTAAGACATAATGTCTACACTGAGCCTTTCATCTTTCGGGCACCATGAAAGCATCTGCCTCTTAATTCTCACAGCACTCTGGTGCCAGGAGAGTTCTATTATTATTAAGCATTTCAGTGATATTTTATAGCTGCAGAGTGCTGTGCAATTCTTGATTGGTTAGACTTTCTAACTCCCAGGTAAAAATTCAATTTACTAATGGTGAAACTGTGGCCCACAGAGACAAACAATTTGGCAAAATGTCCCCACTCCTTTTAGCCTCTCTTTTTCTAGTCTATGCGGAGGGGGTTCTGAACCTTCTTACAAGTCTGCCCATCACACATCCCTGCTGTGAATTTATCCGAAGCATCCGTGGTGGGAGACAGCAGCCTGGGGCGCCTTGTCAGTAGGAAGCCCCTCAGCCCATGCTCTCGCCCTGCCTTGGTGGCTCATCTGTGTTCCTCACAGGTCAGTCCCCCTCTCTCTGGTGCCTCACGTCTTCCCTGTACCCTGGCAGCTCTTCTACGGTGTCTTTCCTATCTTTTTAATAATAAAAACAAAAGCTTCAACCATACGTCTCCCTCCAGCTACTTGGCCATTTGTTCTTTCACAGCCACGCGTGTAGAAAAATGGTTTAAGTCCAGGGACAACAAATGGTTTTCCTCTCCTCTCTGCCGTTGCTGTGCTGAAAGCAGCTATGGACAGTCTGGAAATCTGTGGGCATGGCTGGGTTCCAGTAAATACCCTTTATAAAAGCACATGGCCAGGCACAGCTGTCTGGTGGGCCGTAGTTTGCTAACCCTGGTCCAAATTACTGTCCCCTTCTTTCATTTCACATTAACCATCATCCTTCTGTAGCCTCTGTCCCACACATCTGTAGATAGCACTCTGTCAACAACCATTGCTAAATGACCTCTTCATTGCTGAGCCATCTCCATCTCACTTCACTTCTCCGCTGCGTTTCTCACTCTTAACCGGACCCTCCTGCACCGAGCTCTTTCCTCGCTTGGATTCTGTGGCACCGCCCCCTTGGAGTCTTCTCTTCTTCTCTGTTCCTTCTTGGCTGTCTCTGCCCCTACAGGTCCTCAGCACTTAATCTGTTACATATTTGTCTCTGTATAAATTAGGGATATGTTTGGCTCAAAGAAATATAATAATAAACTAAGAATTGCTTAAATAAATGGGAATTACTATTTCTTGCATAACAGCATCTAAGGTGATAGTTGCAGTTGGTTCATCAGCCCTTACAATGTCAAGCCATTGTCTCTAATTCTGTCAGCTTTTTCCTCTGTGGCATATAAATGACTCCTGTGGTGCCA